ACTGAAGTACTTACAGTTAGGAGAGGAACCGGGATAACTACTGTGTGTTCTTTGCTATTTTTACTTTATTTTTGTTTCTATTTTCGCTGCACCCTATCAGATCTAAACTCAGTTTTTAGAATCCGAACTCTCGTTCAGAAGTAAATTTAATTTTTGCAATACACAATTCAACCCCCCCCCCCCCCTTCTTGTGTATTTTTCTCACCTTTAGTTGGCATTAGAGTAAGTTATGTGCATAACACTTAATAATGGTATAGTAATAGATCCAACGAGAAAAATTTGGATCCTGGCGTTACTAATCCCAGTACCTCAATGAGGACTCCCTATGATTACAATAGCTCTGAGAAAGATCATTATAGTGCTAAACCTCCTGTGTTCAGTGGTGACTCTACTGAATTTGAATGGTGGAAAAGCAAGTTATATACGTATATCATTGGACTCGATGATGAGCTATGTGATATTCTTGAAGATGGCATTGACATTCCTGTTGACAATGTTGGTATGGTTACTGACAGAAAAACTCTGACTCCTGCTCAAAAGAAAATCTACAGAAAACATCATAGAGTCAGAGGTATTATGGTTGATTCACTTCCACATGCTGAGTATTTGAAGATCATTGATAAGTCTTCTGTAAGGTTATGATGAGTCAGAGGTTATGATGAGTCAGAGGTATTATGGTTGATCTAATCCAATGAACAACAAGGTTATGATGAGTCAATACATTGTGATTGGTGAGAATTCTATCTAGGATTGAAATTCAAGTGATGCAACTAACAAGCCATTGATGGGCTATGAAGGTGATGAAAAAAGTAGTGAACACAAAGAAATACCCGTCGATAATGTTCCAGTCACTGTCGAAGTTGAAGCGAACAATGGAGAGGGTGTGGCTAGCACAAGCCAAAGACCTCAAAGAACTAGAGTCCTCACAACAAGGCTTCAAGACTGTAAAGTGGTCGGTAATAATGGAGAGGGTGTGGCTAGCATAAGCCAAAGACCTCAAAGAACTAGAGTACTCCCAACAAGGCTTCAAGACTGTAAAGTGGTCGGTAATAATGAAGTCATACAGATGAAGATTTGGTTCATTTCGCTTTATTGGAAGGTGCTAACAAAATCCACTATAGTGAGGCCTTCAAAGATAAACAATGGAAGGAATTTATGGTCGAAGATTTACAAGTGATCGAAAGAAACAATGTATGGTAGTTAGTCGAATTTCCAGCACACAAAAACGTTATCAAAGTGAAATGGGTGTTCAAACTGAAGCGTAATCCTGATGGGTCGATTGCAAGACATAATGCAATATTAGTAGGTCTAGGATTTCTTCATAGAGAAATACTTGACTACTCTGAGGTATATGCACCATTAGCAAGATTGGAGGTTGTTCGATTGGTGGTAGTCTTGGCATGTAAGCAAGGTTGATTGACATTTCACTTAGATGTGAAATCATCATTTTTGAATGGTCCTCTAGATGAATAGGTATACGTCACACAACCTCCTATGTTTGTGATACAAGAGGAAGCAAAGAATATACACAAGTTGCACAAAGCGCTCTATGGCCTTAAGCGGGCACTTAGAGCATGGAGCAAGAAAATCGACTCATACTTGGTCGAATTAGGATTCATCAAATGCAAATATGAGTATGGTTTCTATGATAAAGTTATGGAACAAGATATAACAATCATCTGCTTATATATCGATAACTTGTTAGTAACTAGAAATAACTTGGAGAAATTGTCGAAGTTCAAAGAGCTGATGAAGAAGGAATTTGAAATGTCGAATCTGAGAAATTTATCGTACTTCCTAGGCATGGAATTTCAAATGTCGAAGCAAGGTATGATGCTACATCAAAGAAAATATGTCACATAGATACTCAAGAGATTCAGGATGGAAGACTCAAATCCTGCATCCTCACCTGTCGAACCAAATTTGAAGCTAGAGAAGAATGGAGAGGAAGACAGAGTCGATGTCACTTTGTTCAAACAAATTTTTGAATCTATGAGATATGTGTGCAACTATCGACCTGATATAGGTTTCTCAATCGGATTAGTGAGTAGATTAATGAGTGAACCAAAGGTGTCACACATGAAGGCTGCAAGAAGAATCCTTAAATGCTTAAAAGGATAGACAAATTATGAAATTCTATTTCCACGAGATTCTAAAAGCAAAGAAGCTAAGATTACTTACTATTCAGATGATGATTGGTGTGGAGACAATGAAGATCAGATAAGCACAACTGGCTACTTCTTTCAAGTATTTGGTGCCCCAATCTCATGGTGCTAAAAAAAGCAACCCGTGACGGAATTATCATCATGTGAGGATGAACATATAGTATGATCATATGTTGTTTGTCAAGCAATTCAGATCAGATATGTGTTGGAAGATATGGAGGTCAAAGTTAAGAAACCTCTGGTGCAGCAGATTGACAACAAGTCAGCCATTAATCTTGCAAAGAATTCACTTCTACATCGAAGGAGTAAGCACATTGAGGCTAGGTTTTATTTCCTAAGGGAGAAGGTAAACTAGGGTGAACTTGAAGTGAGGCATTGCTTGAGTGAAGCATAGTTGACTGACATTTTGACCAAATGACTGAAGATCCATAAATTTCTAACTTTGAGAAAGAAATTAGGAATAATTCAAATCAATTATGATTAGTTTGTGTTCGACAACTTGGATTATAAGGGGGTATGTTGAGAGTATAATCCAAATTGTGTAGCTCAAACCCAAGTTAGTTAGGATTAAGGTTTTTTATATTTGTTACTTAGTACTCAAGTTACTTAGTTGTATAAATATTGTAATTCAGTTTTATCTCTTTCAATAATAACAATCAACATTCAATAATATCAACCCTTATTCTTCATTCTCTATCTCTTTCTCTCCTCACTAAAAATGCCTCATGCACTAACAAGCACACCCTTTCACGCCTAACACAATTGGACTTAGTGCATAAGTGAGTGAATAGTTAGCATAAATCTGATAGTAAGTGACTTAATGGATCTTGGATAGACTTTGATACTATCTTAAACTTTTGGATTTGGTCTAACTCAACCTTACAAAAACGACTTATAAAGTGATGATTGTCTTCACACACACACAGACACGCGCGCGCGCGCGCGCACACACACAGACACCATATATTGTTTGATGTGTCATTCTTAAACTCTTTCCCCTCAAACGTCTAATACTATTGGACTTGATGTGTATATATAAATGGTAGGTAGTCATTAGCAAAAACTTAATAACAAGTGACTCAACAGATCTTAAATTTTGTTCTTATATCATCGGAAAACTATGATTAAGCCTAACACAACTTTATCAAACCGACTTATAAGTAAAGATTACCTCACTAATAAATATATTTTTAGATGATATTTCACCTAATGTAAAACTCTTTTAACATGTAATTATTATAATAGTAATTGTTATTATATATAGACCTTCCACTAATTTGTGCTAGCAAGTCACTAAACCAAATTTTAATGATTCAAAACAAAGAGGGTTAGGATGGTTATAATTACTCTAATTATTTACTTGGTTCAAAATATTTTTTTTAGCTTAAAAGATTTGTCTTAAAATAAGTGTTTTTTTTTATTTTTTCAATATAACATTATTAATTTTTATCAACTTTATTTCTAATAAATATTATCCACTCAATTTTTAAGATATAAATCATACTATGCATTTGTGATAATGTATAATAATCAATAATAATTAAGAATAATTATATAAAATTGTTATATTTATCCATTCAATCATTATTTTTTTTTTAATTTATGTGTAATAATTTTTTTAAAAAATATTTTGAGACAGAGGTAGTATAAAGGTATTGCTAATATAGGATAATACTTCCTGCAAGTCATCATAGGCTTGAGCTGAAACATTCCTTTAATATAATGTGATGCTCATTATATCATGGAGAGAGTACCATTTTTAATTTTCCTATAGACAATTGAACATGAACAGAACTTGTCTCAGTTTAATGTTACTCTAGTGCAAATTCCTTTTCCCACGCGCTCTATAGAACAGTATAATCATATACAATCAGCCTCTGTCACTGTCTGAGGGCCCCACTCTCCACCCATTTTTATGAAATCCAGCTTTATTTCATTTTCAAATCCGTTGTGTGAGTGACCACAACTCCACTCAACTCATTATTTTTATCTTTTCTTTATATAAACAAAAGGCATGTATGTGCTCGCTACCCTTATGTATGTTTTCTGGATTTTCTTTCTTTCTTCAAAACACAAAGTGCTAGTTTTGTCTCTTTTTTCTCCTTCTTTTAGTCCTTGTTTGGATTTGAATCATACATTAAAATATAAATAAAATCTCAGAGGCTAATTTCTCATGGAGTTTGATGAATTTGTATATGGTGAAATTTTTGAAAAGAATATAGTCAACAGTTATAGTGGTAAGCAAGCAAAATTAGGTTGTTGCTCAAGTTTCTTTGTTTGGTTGATGAATAAAATGAAAATTAAGCTAATAATTAGAATTGAATTATCATCAAGATCTTCTAAAGTTCCTAACATGAATTTTCATTTCTGAGTTGTTTCTTTCTTGAATTTCCAGAGTTGACTAACAGTTTAACGGACTCTTTGACCTAAGTTCTTTGATTTGTTTTTGCAGGAAGTGTTGTTCTTCAATATTGACCTACTTTGTTGAAGAAATTGTAGTTTTGTGTCAAGTTTGTGAATTTACTTTTGAAGTTTGGGACTGAGAATGGGAATTGTGAACATTTCTGGTCATAATTGATTCTTTCAGAACGGCTCTACATATTTACTTTGTCATAATTTTTTGTTGGATGAACCAAGTTATGGTAATTTTGTTGCTGATTAGTACAATAGGGCCAATGTTAAAAAAGAGAGTTGGTTTGAGAATTAAACAAGCTGGTAGAGGCTCATACCGAGGAAGCTAGGTGTGTTGTGTTTGTTTGAAAATTGTGTTGTTGGTTGTTGTTGTTTGTTGTGTTTGTTGTTTATTTTACAAAAAAAGTTCTGTGAAAATAGAAGATGGAAGCTACTTCAGTAACAGAACTGTTGAAGGGCTTTTGTGATACTATGCCATGGCAGTATGCTGTCTTTTGGAAGCTTAACCATCTTTCTCCGATGTAAGTGCTTTCGCTGTTGAATTGATTTTGATCTTATGCTACTATGATGTGTATTGTATATAGTTGTTGTTTTACTAAAGAGATTTAATGGTGTTTTGAGTAGAATTGGCCATGGTTTTTGGTATCTTAGACATATGTGAGTCATACATATCTCAACTTGATACAAAATCGATATGAATTTCTAGTGTTGACTAAACTTAATATATAGCCAATCACTTTTTTTTATCGACTTTGTATAGTCAACCACTTTGCTTCAATCATTTGATTTATAACTTGAATCTTAAATCACATGTGGTTCAGATATGATATATTAGCTTATTATTTCGCAATATTACATGCATTTACTTGAAACTATCATATTTTTATTAGTAATGTATTTTACAATTCAAGGTAAGATTTGAGTCACGAATTAGAAATTAGTTATTTCGATTCACAACCATAGGGTTGGCCTGTTGGTGAGACCTGATAGTGTGTTTCTCTCAAAGTCTCATGTTCGAATCGCGCCAGTGGTCAGTCCATAGAAAGTTTGACTCCGGCTTTAAATGGGCCATCGCTAGTGGACGGTGGGTGGGATTGGTCCCCTCAGATTAGTCGGTCCTAGGTACGGATGCCGAGTTTTCAAGAAAGAAAATATTTCGATTCACAATATTATCACATTTGTATAATATTCTTAGAATATTAGTATGTGGCATGAAATTATGTTAGCAGTTTTGGATCAGATATTAAATGTATAACACAAGTCTGTTTGTTTTAGGACATTGAACTGGGAAAGTGGTTACCAGAAAAGTAATGAGCCTTTGGGGAGTATGTGGGGGGACATCAATTTCGAATCCACCGATGATGTATATTCTTCAAGGACTGAAGGAACTGATGATGTAGGTGATTATTCAGTTCGACTTCTCATGATCGAAATGTCTCATCGTAAATACAGTTTGGGAGAAGGGTAACAACCTATGCTTTATAGTTTTATCAGAATTTGGTGTTGAAATTTGATCAGTTATAGTCTTTTGTATCGGAAAAAGATATGTATTATGGATCTATAATGATGATGCAAACTCAACCATTTTTCCCGGTTACAATTCTTTCAGGGTCGTTGGTAAATTAGCTCTTGCCAAGGAACATTGTTGGGTTTCCAGCGAGGATATTTTCACCGGTAAATTTGACACTAGTTTGCTTCCTGAGGTGAGATTCTATACATTCAATATCCACATTGATGTGAATTTTATTTACCATCCTGCTTGAAATATACTAAAAACTGCATTGTTTCCTCCAGTGTCCCGATGAGTGGCTTCTTCAGTTTGCATCTGGTATCAAGGTATAAATTTCTTGTGTAATATTTCTGCGATTAACGAAGCCGGTTAAAGCAAATGCTAAGTTGATGATTTGAATTTTTCAGACTATTGTGCTGGTTCCAGTTCTTCCACAAGGGGTTTTGCAGTTCGGTTCATTTAAAGTGGTGTGTAAATTTTTATCTATTTCTTATTTTTAGGTTTATGTGCAAAATTTGGTTTTCTAATTAGTTTGTTTGTTTGTTCATATTACATAAAATTTTAGGTTGCTGAAGACCGAGAATTTGTTACAAATATCAAAGAAAAATTTCATTTCATTCATTCTATGGAAGCTAATACCACATCTTTGAACTATGAAATTGATTCTCAAGATTGGTCATTCTCAGATCTATCAAAGTATTTGATGGATAGCATCAATGAATCTTCGGCAGCCAGTACTTCTCTCAATATGAACGAATCAGCCAGATTTCCTCAGGATGAGTATTTGTTCTCTAGAGAAACTCAGCTAAAATCTCTCAAAAGAGCGAATGAAACACAGATGTTTTCCTCATCATTCGAGACGTCAACCGATCCAACACATATTGGTTATGTGGACACAAAGCCAAATCATCTGGTAGAAGAGATATGGCCCTGGTCTCACTTTATCGGCAATGAAGAAAAGTTCGGGGAGACATCGTATGGGTTAAGTTCTTATTCTGATAGTAATTTGACTGGTCATGTTAATGTTAAGAATTTCAAAGACTTATCTTCTGTCCCCTCAGTGTCTGCATTCGACAAAGCAATTGGAACTGTTGCATATCGAAATATCTTGGACAAGGATACATTCAGTAGCTCAACATTAATATCCAATAAAAAGGAGCATGATCATATCACGAGTTTTGAGCTTCCTGAAGGACTCGAACCAGAATATCTTTTGGATATTGTTGTTGGCGATTTATACAGTGCCTCTGACGATACCTCGTGTAGATCCAACAGTTTTAGGTCTCATATAACAATGCCGTCAGAGTTTACAGGCTCCATTCAGCCAAAAATCGTATCTGAAGAAAGCACTGTGTTTGTGAAAAATTCAGATGTTGGAAGTGGTCTTATGCCTGCGGTTACAACCAATGCAAAAGACGTATTTATGCCGTCTTTCAATGGAAATTCAAGTTTATTGGTTGATGAGGCACCACTGGAACAGGTTAATAATCACGTGGTGCCTATTAGTCGACCAAAGCTCTCTAGTGTGAGCAAGAAAAGAGCAAAAGTAGGCAACAAGAAAAATTCAAGGCCAAGAGATAGACAATTGATCATGGACAGGATGAAGGAGTTGAGGGAACTCATCCCAGATGGTGGAAGGGTAAGTATTTACGTTTCATTACCAAAACTATTTGTTTGGTTTCCCTTTTGTATTTTCTAAATTGTTACTTTTGGATTATGATATACAGTGTAGCATTGACAACCTTTTGGAACGAACCGTAAAGCACATGATGTACTTAAGAATGGTAACTAGCCACGCCGAGAAACTGAAACGATTTGCTGATCATGAGGTAAGGCTCATAATGTTTCTTATCTACTTGCTTAGGAAAGTTTACACACCACACAAGCTACAGAAATTTATTCTTAAAAATGTTTTTTGCATCAACATGTCTCCTCACCATTCCATTCTATCATGTTTCATTCTGCTCCGCTCCGTTCTGTTCCATCAATCCAAACATACCCAGAGTAAATCCTTGCTATAATCGTTTCATTTATGTTTGACTTTGGATTTACAGGTACCTAAAAGGAAAAGGCAGAAAACAAATGGCAGCCATCCAGGAAGAAGCTGTGCATTTGACTTAGAAAGTGAACAATCATGGCCCATAGTCATAGAAGATCTGGAATCCTCAGGGCACATGCTCATAGAGGTATGCGGGTTTTTGAATTAAGATCCTCTCCGGTACCAGAGGGTCCATTCCAGAGAAAGAAAGAATATTATGTTCTCTGAGTCTTTCTCTACATAATGGATCTCTTAATACCGGAGAGCGTTCCAGCACTTGGTTTTCCCCTCGACTGCTTGGCTCTCATATTTTTTTCAAAAGTAACCGCATACAAGAATAGTATTTATTGAACTGCTGAACTTTTTCTTACAGATGGTATGCAATGATCATGGACTTTTCTTGGAGATTGCTCAGGTGATCCGAAGACTGGACATTACCATCTTGAAAGGGATTTTAGAAAACCGTTCGAGCACAAGCTGGGCTTGTTTCATCGTCGAGGTAGATAAAAACATACCTAATTTTGTTACTTATTCTAAATTTTATTACAGCAATGCTATTACTTACCTCTAATTTTTTCTTTGACATGAATAGGTTCCAAGAGGTTTTCACAGGATGGATATTTTATGTCCTTTGCTTCATCTTTTGCAGCTTAGGAGAAACTGTGTCTCATGAAAGCTGACCCTTCATTCTTATATGAAGGAAATGTAGCTTGTCTTCAGTTTTAAATGACAAGTTCTGTTTTATATAGTAGAAGTTAAAATAGCTGTGTGACTAGTAGTGCAAGTAATTGCTCTCATCAGTGTTGTAGAATTTGTTATTGATGATTGCATGAATATGTAAACAAGAATGCTGCAGGGGTGTTACTGGCTAGAGATCTAAGATTGACTTGCTTTATAGACATTTCTAGTGTGGTATTATGAATTGGTTTATAAAAGAAAATCTGGTTAATGTAATTTAAAGAAAAATAGTGTGCAAGTCAGATCAAATTACATAGGTACATTACTTCTTTTTTTTTACTAAATACATATTTATTTAAGCATTGATATAGGGGATTCTTCAATACACCCAATACTTCATGAGTTACTCATACACCTCAATGGAATTTCAAAAATTATTTAAAAATTCAGACACACTTAATACACAACAACAAGCTCATTCTAGAGCACGCCAAAGAAAGAGTTAAAAAAAATCTAAGATTTTGGAATTTGAACATGCCTTAACACACCACATCACTTGTCCAATCTCAGAACACAATTTAAAAATACTACGAAGATTTGAATCCGGATATTCTACAGTAATTGGAATTCGAAGAACACAATTTAAAAATACTACAAAGATTCAAATCTGAACATGTCTGGTTAAGTATTTGTGTCTTTCCTCTTTTCCGATTTTCATTTTTGCAAACAGATCAAAATTAGAGTTTTTATTCATTTGCATTCTCAAAGATTGTCATATCGTTTTCAAGCATTCTCAGAACTTCTACATCATTTCAAGCATTCTCAGAACTGTTGGTGCAAAGGTAGAATAAATGATGAATAGAGAAATATTCTATTAAGAGAATGACGGCTACACACAACCACACAAATTGCAATGATTGCTATTCTATTTATAAGCTAAAACTAGGGTTATTAGAATAAGATAAAAATACTAAAATACCCTCTAACAAACTTAGGGGCTAAGAAAATAGTACAACTAATAAATATGAATTACTTCTAATACCATCCCTTAATTCATATTCCATCAAAACTTGTAACACCAATTCCATCCCTTAGTCTGAGAAATTTATCAGTCTTGATAGCTTTCGTCAGAACATCTGCCAACTGTTTCTGAGTGCTGCAGTGTACAACTTCTAACACTCCACTCTGAACTTGATGTCTCAAAAAATGATACTTGGTCTCAATATGTTTGCTTCTCCCATGCAACACTGGGTTTCTGGCAAGATTGATTGCAGACTTGTTGTCAATCATCAGCTTCAGAGGTTTGTTTATTTTAATCTTCAGATCCTGCAACAGATTCAGAATCCACACAGCTTGGCATGCAGTAACAGCACCTGCAATGTATTCAGCTTCGCAGGTTGATAACGCCACAACAGGTTGCTTCTTGGAACACCAAGAAATGAGACCTCCCAGAAATTTGAACAAGTACCCAGAGGTACTTCTTCTGTCAACTATGTCTACACACCAATCAGAATCTGAATAACTCAGAAGTTCTGACTCATTCTTTCTTCCAGAAGGAAATAACACCCCATACTTCAGAGTTCCCTTGATATACCTCAGAATCCTGACAGCAGCTTGGTAATGGGACCACTTAGGTTTACTCATGAACCTACTAACCATCCCAACAGAATAGCAAATATCAGGTCTGGTATTGCATAAATACCTCAGAGAACCAACCAACTGTTTGAAGGTTGCAGCGTCCACATCCTTTCCATCAGAGTCAGAATCCAGTTTCTGATTTGTATCAAAAGGTGTGACAGCAATCTTACAATTCTTCAGTTCAAATCTCTTCAGAAGTTCTAATTCATACTTGAGCTGATGCAAAATGATACCTTTCTCAGAATATCTGAACTTCATCCCTAGAAAGTATGTCATTTTGCCTAGATCAGTCATTTCGAATTCATTCATCAGAACTTTCTTGAACTTGGCTATCTCCTGTTCAGAACTTCCAGTCAGCAGTATGTCATCAACATATAAATATACCAGAGTCATATTGCCTTCAGAAGTATGCTGAACATAAACACCGTACTCCATCTCACATTTCTGAAAGTCTTGCTTCTTGAAAAATGAATCAATCTTCTGATTCCAAGCTTTGGACGCTTGTTTCAATCCATATAGAGCTTTGTAAAATGTACACCATCCATTCCTGATTCTTTTTCACAAATCCAGGAGGTTGTGACACGTAAACTTCTTCTTCTTATGGACCGTTCAGAAATGCAGATTTTACATCTAAATGCATCAGAGGCCAATTCCTGTTAGCAGTTATTGCAATCATCATTCTGATTGTTTCATGTCTTGCTACAGGTGCAAACACTTCAGAGTAATCCAACCCAGGTTTCTGTAGAAAACCTCTGGCTACTAACCTTGCTTTATGTTTTCCAATTGAACCATCTGACTTTAACTTCTGCTTGAAAATCCATCTGACGCTGATGACTTTCTTGTCTTTTGGAAGTTCTGTCAGCTTCCAAGTCTTGTTTCTCTTTATAGCATCAAGTTCTTCTTTCATGGCCTTTAGCCAGAGCTTCAGCTTAATAGCCTCTTCTGTACTTATGGGTTCAGAGTCTACTATCATGGCACACTGAATAACTTCTCCTTCAGAGTCTACTTCAGTGTCTTGCACCATGTCAAATTCTGCATATCTTCCGGGGACGTTTCTTATTCTTTGTGGTCTCTGAACTTGTTCAGAGTCTTGAGCTTCAGAGTTTCTAGCTTCAGATGATTGACTTCCTCCAGAGCTTTGACCATCTTCAGGGTCTGGCATATTTCCAGAGTCTTGAACTTCAGAATTTCTAGCTTCAGAGGCTTGACTTCCTCCATAGCCTTGGCCATCTTCAGAGTCTGAATTGCCACCAGAATCTGGATTACCATCAGAGTCTAGATCATCAGAGTCACCTTCATCTTCTGAGTCTTCTCCAGAGTCAGAATCACTATCAGAGTCAGAATCAACGTCAGAGTTTACTCCAACTTCAGAAATTCTTAATTCTGACCTTTCTTCAGAGGTTCTAACATCAGAATCAGATTGAGACTTATCTTAATTCCAAACTTCTGATTCCTTCACAATCACATCTCTACTGAATTCAATTTTATTGGTTTCTGGACAATAGAGCTTGTATGCACCTGTACTGTGGTACCCTATCAAAATCATCACTTTGCTTCTATCATCCAGCTTCTGTCTTCTGGCTTCTGGAACATGTTTATAGCAAACAGAACCAAACACCTTCATATGACTAACACTTTGCTTATCTCCAGTCCACTTCTGTATTGGAACTATTTCCTTCAACTTCTTCGTAGGACATCAGTTGAGTACATACGTTGCAGTGGCAACAGCTTCTCCCCAGAGCTTCTGAGGAAGCTTCTTCTCCTTTAGCATGCTTCTCACCATATCAAGCAAAGTGTGGTTTCTTCTTTCAGCAAGACCATTGTGTTGAGGGGTATAAGGAGCAGTAACCTCATGCTCAATTCCATTCTCCTCACAGAACTTCTGGAACTCTTTGGAGTTATACTCACCTCCACCGTCAGTTCTAAGAATCTTCAACTTCTGACCACTCTGATTCTCAGTCTTCATTCTGAACTTCTTAAATTCCTCAAACACCTCGTGTTTAAACTTAATAAGGGATACCCATGTCATTCTTGTGAATTCATCAACAAATAACACAAAGTATTTATTCCCTCCAACCGATGCTACTGGAAATGGACCACACACATCAGAATGTACAACTCCCAAGGCATGTTTTGCTCTTGGAACAACTTTTGACGCAAATGGCAATCGTGGTTGTTTTCCTTCCATGCAAACTTTGCATGACTTTTCAGGCTTCTTAATTACAGGCATTCCATGTACCAACTTCTTTGAATTCAGATGTTTTAAGCTTCTGAAATTCAAATGACCGAATCTTCTGTGCCACAGCTCACTCTCCTTCTCAGCACTTGTTGCACTAAGACATTCTGAGTCTGCAGTTCTGACATTCACCTTGAATGTTCTGTTCCTTCCCTATTCTGACTCCATAATCAACTTCTGATTGCAGTCATACAGCTTCAGAAGATTGTCCTTCATAGTAACTGAAAAACCTTTCTCAATTAATTCTCCCACACTCATCAGATTGCTTCGGATGTCAGATACATACCACACGTTCTGAATCAATGTTGTTTTCCCATTGTTCAGAATCACTCTGACATTTCCCATACCTTCTGTGTTAAGATATTTGTCATCAGCACATCTGATCTTTGTTCTCTCTTCAGAGTCAAAGTCAACCAGCCATTTCTTGTTTCCAGTAAGATGATTTGAACAGCCAGTGTCCATATACCACCAGTCTATCAGATCCATATCATTAGATTCAGAGGCCATCAATAGCACAGATTCGTCATCAGAACTTCTGGCTATATTTGCTTCTTCTGATTTTCTCTCCTTGTTTGACCAACAATCTCTAGCAAAGTGACCAAACTTCTTACAACAGTAACATTGGATTTTCTTCTTGTCATACTTCTCTTTTCCCTTCTAAGCATTCTTTTGTCTATCAGAGGTTGAGCTTTCTGACTTCTGACCACCATCAGATCTTCTCCTGGCTTCTGACTGCTTCTGATACCTCCTATCAGAAGTTACTTTCAGAGCCTGCTGCTCTACTTCCTTTTCAGAAGTTCTCTCAGTCAAACGCAACTCTTGCGCTTCTAGACTGCTCTGCAGCTCTTCAATTCACATGGTGCTCAGATCTTTGGAATGTTCTATTGCTACCACAATGTAATCAAATTGAGAGGTAAGGGATCTCAATACTTTCTCCATGATTGCTTCTTCAGAAAGAGTTTCTCCACACGCCTTCATCTCATTAGTGATCAGAATCATTCTGGAGATGTATTCAGAGACTTTCTCATTATTCTTCATGTTGAGATTCTCATATTGCTTTCTCAAGGACTGAAGCTTCACCTTCTTCACTGATGCGTCACCACCATAACATCTCACCAGTGTGTCCCACGCAGCCTTTGCTTTCGTTGAATCTGCAATCTTCTCAAACACATTTACATCCACACATTGATGAATGAAGAACAATGCTTTCTGATCCTTCTTCCTTACTTTCTTCTGTGCGTTTTTCTGTTCATCCGCCGCATTTGCTGCTACCAGAACATAACCATCAGTGATAAGATCTAGAACATCTTGAGCACCGAACAGTACACGCATTTGGATAATCCAACGATTCCAGTTTTTACCGTCAAACACTGGAAGTTTGGTGTTCATGTTGTCGTTTCCGTTCATCTTCTACCTTGCACAATACACTCAGATTTCTCACACAGTGTTTCCCAATCCACAGAATTAAAATTCTGATCAGATTTTGTTCAAGATTCAACACGAATCTAAGAATCAAAATCAAACACACAAGACCTCACGTTCACTCGTGTTTTCCGCGTTTCCCAATGAATCCGAACCGGAGCTCTGATACCAATTGTTGGTGCAAAGGTAGAATAAATGATGAATAGAAAAATATTCTATTAAGAGAATGACAACTACACACAACCACACAAATTGCAATGATTGCTACCCTATTTATAAGCTAAAACTAGGGTTACTAGAATAAGATAAAAATACTAAAATACCCTCTAACAAACTTAGGGGCTAAAAAAATAGTACAACTAATAAATATGAATTACTTCTAATAAGAACTTCTACTCTATTGTATTGAAGTTTAGCACGTCTCTAAAGTTCTATTCCATTATAAGTTTAGCATGTCTCTAAAGTTTTACTCCATTATATTGATAAGTTACTCGTTCCTTTTTTGTTTAACATGCATGCGTGCATTACCTAATCAGATTATAGGTATGGTATATTAGAGTATAGGATTTGTGCTTTGTTTATTCTAAATTGTCTTGGTTTTTCCATTTTCTACATTGGAACTTATGGTTGTGCTCTATTTCTCTGTTTTCATTTTTGATGGTTCGTTTTAAAATGTCTTTCTGTTTTTCTGCAAGATTTATTTCGGATTGAATATGATTATATTAATCATGGATTTTTGTATGTTTTTGTGGAGAGATAACACGCATAAACATTGTCGTTTCATCTTTTGATTGGTAAAATGTCAATCACACTTGATGGTATATCATGCTTCATATATCTTACGATCTCAAAAAAAAACCTATTAAAATACTATATAACTAGTAGCTCTAAAGCACTAAATATGATGATGACTTATTTGAGAGATGATTTGGAAAAAAAGTCCAACAAGAAATAAATGATACAGAGAATGTCATGCTATATTTTCATTCTTGAGAAAAACTGTATGAAAATTAAAAGCATATAATATCATTTAGTATCCCTTACGTGCTTTAAATATCTATTATGATGTTTTACAATTGAATTATTATTTCATCATCGTCATCCGTTTGCATTACTTTATAAATTATTAAAATAAAAGACAAATTTCTTTCTTCTATTGGTGCATTTCAATTAAATCTTATTTTTAATTCATTTTTTTTTATTGTAATATTCTATCCTTTCTATTATCATCGCATCAATGAAAAACCTTTACATTTCATAATCATATTCATTTGATCTTTATTAGTGTCTCTTTTTGAGACAAATTTTGTTATTTTTTTCTTCATCTCAATTTCAAAAAGTTAACTTTTAGCATGTTTGAATCTTAATTTTTGAAAAATCGTCTTTTCTTAAAATTAAACAAAAACATTGTAATGTGTCACTCCACGGTGCAATTTCATTCTCCAACCATTTCATATGTCACCCCTATATGATCAAATCAGTCCAAATACAATCACATTTTCAGATAAAATACACTACCATAAATGTAGTTCCGGTAAAAAAAAAATGCAGGATTTAAATGGGCACATTTAAGAAATTATCACAAGATAAATTACATAGACAAATCATATCAAGAACTCACGAATATAATGAAACAAGACCACTAAGATATGTATGCCCTCGTAAAAATATATTTGGTCCATCCATTAAATAGTGCAATAAATTACAACCATATTTAAACAATGTTAAATCCTAAGCCCTATTATTTTTTTGTTAGTATCCAAACTTAAAATCGTTCACAGATCTCCATGTTAGTCCCAGGCTACAATCTAGAAATGGAAGCAAGAGAAAATGCAGAGTCATGCCCAGACAAAGAAATAGAAGAATAAAACAACCAAAACCAACTGATTTTTTTACATTACTCATAGCTTTCAAACAGGTTTATCTACCATCAGCAATGTATGCCACCAACCACAAGCAACATGTCTTGGACGGCAACCGGAAATAGAAACTCGACAGGGAATGTTTCTGTCGACAGAGTCTCCCAAGCCAAGCTGCCCAGGTAGAAATTCATTAGAAATCTATAATGCACGGACACAGATATGGAGATTAACAATGTCGACACTAATAATAATTTGAAAAAAATAAATAAATTCAACTTAAATCACAAGCGTCGATGTCGTATTCAACACTGACACGATACTCATACGCTATTTTTTCAGAAGTGTCAGTGCTAAAGAGTTAGAAATCGACTCTAATAACTATATTCCTCATTGTAATGATTACTTGAGGCAAGGAGAATACCTGGCCATACTTGTTCCATCCCCAAGTGAAAAGGTGACCGTCATCTTCAATATGAAAATGTGAACCATTATAGTAGGAATATAATGTGACATTTATAGCAACTTATTTGACATTCATAATTATCTTTAACAAAACTGATTTGATTATAAGATTTGAGCTTAAGCATATTATCAAAGAAACGTACCTGTTAGCAAAGCACTATGACGAGCACCACAAGAAACTATTCTAGAGAGATTGTTCTCAAAAGTATCCAACAGTCTAGGTGAAGTCTGATAAAGCGACAAAAAAAAACAATTTTTAGGCAATTGGGAACGCAACTATATACCTAACCACCACATATTGAAAGCAGAAACAGTAAGAGATAAAAGACAATACAGTTATACTCCCTCCGTTTTAAAATGACTGTTGTTTAAGATTTTTGTAGACAGATTAAAAAATGCAATCATATTGTCATAAAATATTGCACTTTACTAAATTAGCTTATTAATGTGTTGGAAATAGTGTACACAGTAATAATTATATGACACAATTGAAAAAATAACAATTATAACTACATTGAAAAGTGATAATGTCATTTATTTTGAAACAAAAAATTTCCCCTAAAACAGTCATTTTAAAACAAAGGGAATAACAAAAAGGAATGCAGTCAACAAGAATCAGGAAATGAAATGTTTTTTCAGCAGCATTTTGTCCCCAAAAGTAAACGGAATAAGTTGGTCTTTTTGTTAAATTTTTTTCCACAAATTTATTTTGTTAAAACATGATAGTATTGATGCGGCACTACACCTGTAATTGTGTTAGAACATGTGGATATAAAAGAAAGTTAGGAACATTTAGGGAAAATTTGATTCCTAAATAATTTTTAAAATTGGAAAATTTCATTGTTTTCTTCCTTTCCCCTTTCTTTCTCTATTGAAGGATCAGAATCAGAGTTTGTTCATACTATGACCCTAACGATGTTGAAGACTTCTCCATCACCTTCCAAACATGACATGAATTAAAATGAAAGTTCAAGTGCTGGTACTGAGAGAAATGCTTCTGCCCCTGATTACAGATGTTGAATAAAAGCACATTTGTTTGTTGCAAATATACACAAGAATCCCAATAAACCTTTCTCTTTTAGTGTTTCATTTAAAAAAAAATTAAATTGACTTTGTGATTCTAGTTTCGAAAGGTTTAGGATTCCCTATCATTTATGTTCATCCAAGCCAACTAGAGTTACTATAAAATGGTCTTTTCGATTTTAATATTTTGTAAGGGACTAACATTAAATTTATTTACTTTACTAGAGACTAACTCGACTCTTCCAATGTATTCAAGATCAACTGTTGAGTCATCCTTCTTGTTAGAAGTTAAGAGAAGAAGTTAAGAGAAGAGAGAGCGAATCAGAGAAAATTGTTCAATTGTATTAATATTATAAGGCTAACTAACTCTTATCAAACTAGCTACAGAACTAACTCTTAATAGATTACAGCTGCAAGGGCTGTGAAGAAGCCTGCTACTCTAACTATATTGGGTTGTTTAATTCTACTTTAACATTCCCCCTTACAAGTGGAGGATATCTTTACCGAATTGAGTTTGTCACACACGAAGCTTGTCACGAAGAATGCAGAATCTAGTAGCCAAAAGTGGTTTAGTTAGGGCATCTGCACACTGGTCTTGACCAGAAACATGTAAGATCATGGTTGTCAAGATCTAGATTTAGATCGTGAAATCTTAGATCTTACGAGTTTTCACCATGCTTCCGCGGCGTGCAGCAAAGATCGGCATAGATGGTGGCGCAGTATGAGCGCAGTGGAAGATCATAAAATCGTGAAAGCAAAGATCTATTTTGCAGTGAAAAATTCGTCCGACCCGCTTCAATCTGACCCGGTTCAATGCCCACAAAGAAGGTGACCCGTTCAGCTTGTTCTACAAGCCGTTTCACATTAAATTCAGCTGTTTTACAGCATTTAAAGTCAGAATCTGGTGCTTTCTACAAGACTGGTTTTTTTGGGGGAAAATTAAAATTCCATTTGAAAAATATCAATTTATTAAATGATACCATTTATTCTTCTTCAATTTCATCTATAAATCAATCATACATTTCTATTCAATCATCAACTTCTTCTCTTCTTTATAAGAGTTATACGATCTCTCATCATATCTTCTATTCAATCATACTTTTTTTCTAATATCTTCATCACTTCCGGTTCATGCATCCTCATCTGCACCACCAAAAGTTCAAAAAAGCTTTATGTATTTTTGTTTTAGAATTTTGGATGTTTTTTATTATTTGGATTTTTGAATGTGGTTTATTATTAATTAAAAGAATTATGTTAATGTTTTTTTAGTTAAATGTATAATTTGGTATATTTGGTGGGATCTTGCGATCCGATTTACAATTTTACAATTCACGTTTTTTTTCATCCCTCGGCGATCTTTAGTGGGATCCCAATTTTGACAACCATGTTTAAGATAATGGAATTCTTGCTAAGTACTTTCTCTCTCACAAAGATGATATCTATGTATTGTACAATTGTGTAGAGTGAGATTATATGCTAGTGAAACAATACTCAGATTATCACAAAAACTCGGAGGTGTTAAACCTACAACCTAGTTCTGATAGGAGAAATTGAAGCAGAAATTAAAGCCATAGTATCTTTGTAAGGAGATTTGCCAAGCTTATTATCGGAAGAAATAAGTAAAAATTGTTTTTATTCCACAACCAAAGACTGATTTATATAATGAGAATACAATAAATACACTTAATTTTCTATTTAATGGAGAATAAAAGAAAATAAACAAAAATAATCGGAAACAATTAAATAGGTAAACGAAATATTTTCCAACACCCCCCTCAAGTTGGTGCATAGATATCTATCATGCCCAACTTGTCTATCAAATGCTCAAAGGTAGGTTTTGCCAAACTTTTAGTCAGGGTATCCACAGTTTGCTGACTTTAAGTCACGAAAGATAGACATATGATTTCAGCATCTAACTTCTCCTTTATGAAATGTCGATCAATCTCAATATGCTTGGTTCTGTCATGTTGAGCAGGATTATGAACTATGCTAATAGCAACTTTGCTGTCAGAGTACAATTTCAATGGAAGCTCAATTTTCATCTTAAGTTCTTCTAGGACTCTAAGGATCCATAATCCTTCACAAATACCTTGAGACATAACTCTAAATTCGGCTTCTGCACTACTCCTTGCTACAACTCCTTGTTTCTTTCTCCTCCATGTCACAAGATTATCCCAAACATAAGTACAATATTCAGAAATTGATCTTCTATCTAGGACTGAATCTGCCCAATCAGCATCGGTGAAGATAGACACATTTCTTTCACCAGTCTTCTTAAAAGATAATCATTTCCCAGGATTTTTCTTCAAATATCTCAGTATCCTATAGACTATCTCCAGATGTTCCTCGAAAGGAGAATGCATAAACTGACTCACTACGCTAACTGAGAAAGCAATATCAGGTCGGGTGTGTGACAAATAAATCAGTTTCTCAACCAATCTCTGATATCTTCCAGTATCAACAGGAAGATTACCTTCTCCCAAAGTTTAGCATTATGTTCCATAGGGGTACCTGCACTCATTCCTGTTTCTTTCAACAAATCTAGAATGCATTTCTGCTGTGAAACCACAATACCATTCTTTGACCGAGCTACCTCTATACCTAGAAAATATCTCATGAATCCCAAGTCCTTGATTTCAAAGTCTACTGTTAATTTCTCTTTTATTCTTGCCATTTCCACAACATCGTCTCTAGTAAGGACAATATCATCAACATAAACAATCAGGACAACAACTTTTCCATCGTGGGAGAACTTTGTGAATAAGTGTGGTCAGCCTGTCCTTGGATGTACCCTTATTTCTTCATGGACTGAGTGAATGTTTCAAACCAAACTCTAGGGGATTGCTTTAATCCATACAAGGACTTATTTAGTTTGCACACATTTGATCCAAATTTGTTTTCAAAATCAGGAGGAATGTCCATATATACTTCTTCCTCTAGATTGCCATTAAAAAAAGGCATTTTTAACATCTAACTAATGTAAGGGTCAATCCAGATTAGCAGTAAGAGACAAAAGAATTCTGTCAGTGTTCAATTTTGCAACATGAGCAAATGTCTCTGAGTAATCTATATCATAGGTCTGAGTAAAGCTTTTAGCCACCAAGCGAGCCTTATACCTTTCAATTGACCCATCTGAATTATACTTCACAGCAAACACCCATTTGCATCCAACTGTCTTCTTGCCATCTGGTAGTGACGTAACACTCCAAGTTTTGTTCTTTTCAAGAGCTTTCATCTCTTGAAGTACAACTTCCCTTCACTTTGGAATTTCTAGAGCAACCTGTACACTTTTTAGAATTTTTACACCAGACAATTTTGAGGTGAAAGCAAACATAGATGAAGACAAATTTGAATATGATATAAAATTGGACATGAGATGTTTAGTGAAAGATCTGAAAAATTTTCTAATGGCAACAGGATCATCTATATTAGGATACAAAATACGACTCTCAGAAATAGAGATAGACTTACCTTTCCTTTTGTTAGGAAGTTGATCATTCCCCGGTTCAGATTCCTGGCAGTGTTGAGAAGTGGACTTGTCCCTTACTTTATGGTGCCTTTTTTCAAAAACCTTTCCTTTCCAAGTCATGTTTCCTAATCTAAATTTGTTTTCTTGAAGTGACTCATTATTTTGTGGCATTTCAATTAGATCTTCATTATCATTGTTATCAGGATTCTCATTGTTTTCTACTAGAGAAAATGTAGGCTCGGATTTACAAGGTTCCTTACTCATAACAGGAGTAGGGTCAGATGAATCATGGTCATTTTCTGTTAGTGCAGGTGTAAAAGTCTCAAAATTTTGTGATACTGGCAAAGATAAGTTATTTAGAAAAACTCATGTCCTCAATTTGAAACGAGTCTTCGTTTATCTCCCCCCTTAAAGATGAGTGTCATCAAAAAAATGTTTATTTTCAAAGAATGTAACATTCACAGTGACAAACATTTTTTTATTTTTTGGATCAAAACATTTATATCCTTTTTGGATTTGGGAGTATCCAACAAATACACATTTTATAGCACGTGGCTCAAGTTCTTCAACATTTTTATGCTCATGAACAAAGGTTGTGCAACCAAAATTTTTTAAAGTCATTTAATTAAAACGCGAGTACTAGGAAAACATTCTTTGCAGACACTAATTGGAGTTTGAAAATTGAGAATTTTAGAGGACATTCTGTTAATTAAAATACGCAGCTATTTCGCCCCCA